ATAATATGTTTATTTAATTTTCGTAATTCAACTTGGTTATGATACAAAGAATATTGAAATAAGATGATTTGGAAAGTTACAAACAATCTTTATCAAATATTAAAGTGACTATTCGAAATGTATCAAATGTATTTATGATTTATATTTTCTCGCAATACAAATCTATTTTAAATATAATATAAATATTGTTGTGTTTAAAAGGCTATTTTCTGAAATTCTTTATATTCTCAACATCATCATTTTCAAACCCCAAATCAACTCCGTGTCTTTCAACTTCAATTTTTATTCTATATTTCTCAAAAATGTCTTGGAGTAGTGAATCATCACATATAAACTTATTTTTTTTCCAAAAATATTTATGAACGCATTCAACATCTCTTTTCAAGTATATAATGGCACGAGGGTCATCAACTGATATACATTGTGGGAAATCTATGACCTTTATGTCTGTTTCATTCACCATAACATTAAATTCATTAAAATCACCATGCGCATATCCCATATCCCACATTTTTCGTAGAAATTTTAGCATTTTATTAGAAATATCAGTAGGGTTGGTGACTGTTACTTTATAAAGTGGGTTGTGTTCGTCCAAAAACTCCATCACAACCACATGTCTATTAGAGCAGTAGTATTTTGGAACAGAAGTACACGAAAATTCCTGAAGAAACATAGCCTCTTTTTTGGCAGATTCTATATTTGCTAAAAACCAATTTTCTTCATTTTTAAGATCTCTTTCTTCAATTTTATTGAAACTAGTCCTGCCTAACCGATGAATTTTCATGGCTGTATCTATACCTTTAAACCTTCCCCAATAGATATCCGATTCTTTTCCTATTCCAATTTGTGAACCAATCATTTCCAATCCGATCTTCCTCAATGAATTGATTGCTAGACAGTCAAAACCACTTAAGCTGAGCTTGTATGTATTTGAATAGCATTGAATAAATTTCAGTTTTACTAAATCTCTTAAATACTCTGTAAAGTTCGCCTTTATTCTTGACTTATTCCTTATCATATTTTCTGGGACATAATTATGTGTTTTTACAAACGACTCTGCAGCTTCAAGTACTTTTAAATGATCTTTTGTGATAGTCCATACACCATCCATCAGTAGTTTCATTCTTGGGCTGAAAAATTTACAACAAAAATATGCTTGAAAACCAGGATGTAAATGGTGAAATTGGATACAACAGTTTCAATTGTCAACTAGCATTATTCACATATAATCTATTGTATTTTAGAAATTTAAATTTAAATACAATAGTGTTTATTGAATATAGACACATTACTGTGGTTCTACATATAGATTTCAAATTAAATTGATATTTATATTAAACTTCATCAGCATACAGAATCCATTTATGTGTGCATTATAAGCTATATAAATAAATAATATTATTAGGATGAAAACAAAAAACCATAACTTCACCAATTAATTGCTGCAATAGTATTTAGTCTGGAGGTACTAAGGTAATTATAAATTGATTGAATATTCTGCTTAGAAAACATGGATATTTCGCTATAACGCTATTCAACATCAATTAAATTAACTACTAAGGAAAAGATATCATTCGAGAATATAAAAGAATTCATACGTATGCTTTGCAATTAAAAATGATTTCGCATAATGCATACGAAAATAATGTAAATAATGAAGACACAATGCACATAAAATCTTCAAAAGCAAAAGACTGGATATTGCCAAGAGATGTTGAGGGTGCAAAAAATATAGGGATGACTTAAAAAATTATAAGTTATACAACATAATATGGGAAACACATCTGTAATATTTCGTTATCTCCTAAAAAACATATTATATGCAAATTTTTGGTTTACATATTGCTAAAGTTTGAATGTTTTATTATAAGGCAAATATATTTGACAAGAGAAGAGTCATCATGATTTAGAAATTAAAATACATACAGCTTTAGAGATAACTTATATGCGACGTGTTTCAAATGCAAATACTTGAATTGGATGTTGTCTTCAAAGGCTTGTTGTTGTTAAACTTTGATAATAAAAGTATGGCGAAAGTATAGCATCCTGGACATTTGTCCAAATATTTTTTTCATCTACTTTACATCAAACTGATTTTCTTTTAATCCCAATATTAAACAATCAAAAAATCATTGAAATTTTTGATGAATAAGCAAAATGTGAAAGGACACAGTGTCATTTTAATAACGTGATCGGACAAGTATATGGTACTCTTAAATATCTTTCGGATGCCTTTCCTTTTACAGCATCTAATTATTTAGATCATCAAGAGTATTACACAACCAACATGATAATATAAACGCAACGAAGCAAACTTTTTGGATCAAAATTCAAAAATAACCAAAGGGCTGCTTTATTTATAAACTTTATAATATTTTATAACATCAATTTTTCAAATCAAAATGGTACTTTGGATTTGATTATGTTTTATTATATTTTATTTCAAAAATAATTTAATTCTGGAATGTGTAAAAATTTTCCAAATGTGCATAGATAAAATGGCGCATTTTCCTTTTTATAGACTTGTCGAGTTTTAAACAATTTTGTTAGACACGTTTTGATTTGCCATTGCGTTAAAATGAATTTCAACTATATGTTAACCCATAATAGTTCAAAGTTGTTATGTTATAGTCTTGTCTTCTACTGTCTGATTTATGATAATACCTTTGCTGTGTAGATTCTCCGTGTTTATTTATCGTTAAAACGCATTTTAATGAATTCACGGCCTTTTTTAAATTTAGACTTTTGTTTGGCTAAAGTTTTTATTCTAAAATAAAGTTGTTCCTAGATTTCGATGTCTATTTTATACAATTAAGCTTGGCATCAATTTTGGATTGAAAACATTTAACTGCCATTCTTTCAAAATCACAATAAAAATTCCATCATGCGTATAATAGGCATTGGAGTAGTTAACCGAATAAGAATCACATTTTCATGGCATGCCAATGTGTAGAATTTCTGAAGAACTTAACAATCAACATTTAGCTGTTTGCAAGCCATGCCAACAATATTCTTGTATAACAAAAGAATCATCTGCAATTCAAAGATAGTTTTGCATGCATCATTTTGCATGTAATTTGGTCTTTTATATTGAAATATTTAGAAAACTCACAGATATCTTTTTTAACAATTTTAATATTAGATCATAAATAAATGGTGAAAAGCCATGCTCAAAAAAACTTTTAAGCAATGAATTTTATTTTACCATAGCTCATAAATGGACACATTGTATTTGCCAATTTAATGAGAAGTTCACTGAAATGATAGAAATATCATACTCATCGAAATGTCAAGTATTTGTATGTATGATTTGTCCGTAGTAATACTTAGTACCTCACTGATCATTCATTATTTATTAGGTTTGGTATGTTTCAATATATTACAAACATTTACTATAATGTGACGAATGTATATGTTGTAAAAATAGGCACAAGCATATGTACTTCCATTCTGAATATATTTATCTCAATGCTGGAAAGCCCGGCATATACTAAAACTGCAATATCTGTGAAGACAACGCTATGAATGTTTTGTCGAACTTACTAGAATAGTCATAGAGCATGACATGTGCTATGAATCTTGGATCTTGATGTAAAAGATGTAGTCCAATGGAGTTTAGCTAAGATATTTTAGACATTAAAGATTAGTGATTGGAGCACTGTTTACATGCCAAACTTGATAGCTTCTGTTCTTTATTTAATACGACTGTAAATTGCTATTGCATTATTTATGCATTATACTATATTACAAATTTGACTTTTCATTATATTATATATCTTTTGCGTACTCCAACATTGATTTAATCATATATTGCTAACTTAGGCACAATAACTCCCTCTAGGAGTTGCTGAATGTTCTTAGGAATTATTATATGTTTTGATGCGTCTATGATTACAACACGCTGTCAAATTTGGATTTATAATGCACAGTACTGTTATTAGTTTTGTTTTAATTGAATTTATTGAGTCAACATGGCTTATTCATTTTTGTTTGCCCAAAACTAACAATAACAAATCATGTCTACATAAAACAGTTTCATTAATTATATATTTATCATTAAAAGTAATAGTGTTTGGTGAGCGGCTAGCAATAATCGCGGATTATATTTTTAATCATTTAGCACTCCAAATCATATTTTTCTAAAAATTACATACAAATAAACTAGAACTGTTACTATTCTACTCATATCATAGTGGTGTATAATCTTATTGTAATGATTTTCTAAAACTATTTCTGTAGTTTTTAATCTAAGTTCAAATTTATTTTTTTATTTTAGTATCAACACTTGTTATAACCCAACCAATATTTAATTTTTTATATCACATTATTAGTAGTTTAGTTGTAATACTGGTGTAACTTTTTTCATTGCCATTTCTAATTAAGACCAAATAGAGTCTATATGATATAATATCAAGAATATCGCGCAGAAATAATATGCTTGTTGGTTAAGAATATTGGCATTGAACAAGTTAACAGTTTTAATTTTTTTAATAATAATATATTTCGAAAATTAGCAATTTAATAATCAAACAGTACAAACAAAAAGGTGTATCAATATTTAGAAAGTTCCGATTTTGATTAGCATTTATTATACCACACGGATTTGAACTTATAATCCAAATTTGATAAAGCTTAGTTTGAGCTTCGACCGGCATTCCTTCATATACGTTTTTAATTATAACTTTTAATTCAAATGTGTTTTGACTGCAAATTGTTAATTTGTTGTTTTATGACACCTTTTATTAATTTAAATCAAGAGATTGACGATAAAAATAACTATGTTTTCTTTCAAAGGTTTATTAGAACCAAAATACAGCTTGGATGATTATCTTGTCAATTGAAAGCAGATTTAAAACCTTGGTATATACCAAAGAATGTAAATCATTGGCATAAATGTTTGTGCATATAACGGTTTCCATATAATCTTGCCAACAAAATTAACCTTAAGACTTCATAATGTATAATACCTTGCTATTGTTTCTATTGAAAACATCAGGATAAGAAGACTGCATACCCATAATTTAAAAATTAAAAAGGAAACCATATTTTCTATCGCACAGTATCCATTCATTGATTTTCTTCAATTTTTTCTCTGAAATCTTTGTTCATTGAAATCAAAGTTTGAAAAGTTTCAAGTACAACATGGATTTTCATGAGAGGGGCTTTCTGATAATGAATGCGTATAAAATAAATTTTTTTATCATCTGTAATACGCTATATTATACATTCTTCAAACAACAATTTAGTGCTTCTCTCTAATTCTCAAACATCTTTTTATGTATCCCTTTTAATTCACAACGATCGATTGTTGCCACTTGCATCAATATGATTTCCACAATTCTATTGTCATTTTAATATAATGCATTGATAACGTTCAATCTATAATTTTGATGTTTTTATGCTTTAGAGGCTTGATTAATATTTTTTGGGCATAGTCATTACGATTTAGTGGCTGTACATCATACAACAATAAGATTTTCAAAGATCTATAAATGAGTCAGAGAAATAAGCCATACTACATCTAAAACCGGTTATTATGAGAAATTTAAAAGAGCGTAGATCTTGAAGTTTTTATTAAAATCTAGATTGTGGTGATAAAACTTGAGCATAAAAGTATGCGAACCTGTAGAATTAAATGCAACAAGTCCATATTTATGACCATTGAAAGGGTAAACTTATAAAATATAAAGGCAATTTATGTTGATCCGAAAATCAAGAGTGAATGTTTGAGAGATAGATAATATAACTAAAAGTATTTTATCATAAAAATACCAACTGATCCAAATAAGCAAATGCTTGGTGGGTTGAACTTGCAATTATATAGTGAGAGTGATTTCAGCTTATAGGCCTATTTTAACCGCGGATATGAACATTTAATATTGTTATGACAGAATTTTTGTAGTGCTTATTAAGGAAGTCTAGAGATTAATGAGAGAATTGCAGTTTTAAAAATCTTTTTAAAAAGTTGCAACAAATGCAGAATCATAAAAATAATGTGGCTGACCATTCTAATTTGAGCTAGTATTTAAATCATACAAATTTATTACTAAGCTTTACGTCCTTAAGGCTTTATTTTGATGTAAATACCTTTTAATGAATCTCTGCCACTTTCAATTTTAAATCTCTCCTCTAAAATAGTTTACCGGCTTATAAACAATAAAAGACATCTTTTTATTAATAGTAGTGTTGAGTTTAAGCAGAGTTCATAATTTTATCATTTTTATCTTATGTTATCATTTGATTGTATACTGGCCGTATCATTTAATATCTTTTAACTACAGTAGCATTTACAGGTATTTTAACATCTAGACTGTACAACCTATCTATCATAAATATATTCCATAAAGCTAGCACCGCTTTATGATATTCGGATTCCTCATAGAATCCTATTTCTTTCTATGATATATTTGATAAATCAAGTTTTATGGTGGTTTCCTGCAGCATTTTATTAATTTAAATCATTTTTGGGGCAGAAACTTTTAAAAGCAATCAAAGACCGTTGTAATCATTATCCATAAAATAATATTATATGAAAACTTTTCTATAATACCACCTTGATAATAAGTGGTCAAGTTCATCATGTGCGTAGAAATATGACTATTTAAAATTCCATCATGTAGACAATTTAGCAAAATACTTGGATTGTATGTTGTGAAAGTTTTAAATAAACTCTTTTAATGTGAAAGCCATCATAAACTTTATGTTTAGAGTTTACCAGAAGTTGTTAAGCAAAAAATTAAAAAATCAATAGGAATATTATTGTCGCCTTTTCACATTATCTTTGTATTGTCGAAGCATGCTAAAGTAATATGCAACAAATATGAGCACTATGAGAAAAATATTTAAAGACTGATAAGAGAATAAAGAAAACACAATCAATCGACAATAATCAAGGCGATTATAATTAAGGTAAAAAGCGCACGATTGTTTTATAAATAATATGAGGATATAATTTACAGTTGTACAATATAAAGGTCCCATTATATTATTGTGATGAATGCCACTTGGTCCGAATTTCAAAATTTCAGTTGAATTGCAAGATTTTTAGGTAGATTTACATGTTTGAATTAATCAAAGAATGGTGAGTTTAAAACAGCCTACTAATTTAAATGAAATTACAATACGAGATCTTAAAAATGAGCCATTATTATAAATTGAAATATGCTGCAGTAATGTATAAGCTAGCATTTGATTTTCCAAACATGAAAATATGTGAAACTTGTTTGCTCAAATTCCATTTTAACATATAAATGAATATTTACTTGAAGTGTGATGAATATTAGATTGTGATTCAAATAGGAACGAAGTTTTCATAATTTATGCACTATAAAACATCTTTTAAAACTATCCTAACATCACAGTATAATTGCAATTTTCTAAATAGCAATTGAACAAATTTGATCAAATGTAAATTGAAGTTGAATGAGTATATAATTTTTAAGTCATTTATTTTAAAATTTTCATTGAGACACAAAAACTTTTGAAAGAAACATGCGCGCATACAACCAATCTGTATTTTCATATGTGTTTTGTCACATTAAGACTTATATAAGATTAAACTTCAGACATTTTATCAAATAAATTTTTTCGATCATGTAATTATAAAATAGCTGATGTGTTTTAATATTTTAACACTATTTTATGATATTAACGTGATAAAGTTAACTTAAGAAGCACAAATGCATACTAATGTTGTGCATCCACATATCAAATACATACATTAATATCTTTATTTTGCAAACAAATCAATAAAATGGCCTCAAATCTATCAACACTGTGGTTTTATTATTGAAATTAAAGTTTTGTTTTCTACGTAGGTTATAAAATCCAAAGATAATTTTAATAAACAGCACAATTTATATGCGCTTTGTTGATTACTACAACCATATTCCCTTGATAATTTGGCAATAGCTTAGTTAGGAATCAGATGGAACTTGTAGATACCAGGTTTGAAAATATAAAATTTAATAAAAGCTAGCGAAAACATATGAAAACGCAACAAACCCAAATTCAAGTCCAAACCATATATTTTGTGCTTAACGTCTACTTTTGCTCTTAAGTCCTTTTCAATTTTTCTGGTTTTTATTTTTACAAAATTTATAGCCATAGTAGTGTTTATGATGTACTTACCACATGACAATAGTATTACTAAAGACACTTGTAGAAAGATCCAGGAGCATATAGTTTTCATGTAGTTGTGATTTATTCAATACTCTTTATATGGCTCTAAAAATTATGAATCATGTTTGGATATAAAAGTGTTTAAATAAATTTTATATCAAAGATAAATTGGGTTAAATATTATAATGCAGTATCCTTTCTGGAAAAATTAAATATATATTTGTTGAAATTTTTTAATAATATGTCTTGGTGGTCGTAAAAGGAACTGTAGCACACATTTGGACGATTTTGGTATGAATACAAGGAATATTAGCTAATATGTTAGAATTATAAGAAAAGTTATTTGATACCAGATATGCATTTTAAAAACAATTGATATATCAGGAATATGCATAAAGTAAAAATTATCTAGATGCCTGGGCATTAATACACAAGCTCATAATTGCGTCAAGCTTCAAATAAAACTACTAGTAAACTATGACGTGGCATTGCAAATGCATTTATATTGTACGTTGATATGTTGCACAAAGTACCATCTAATTTCAAAATATTAACCGCACGTCTTTTGTCAGAAGTATTTAGTCGTTTCAACTAAAAATTTTAATTTAACGAACTAGTTATTTCAAGTAGAAACTGATGGTAATCTTTCTGGACAATTTAGACTTTGCAATTTGACAAGTCCAGAAGACAATCAATTGACTGTGTGAATATAAAAAAGTACTCATCTAACTGATTTAAAGTTCAAACTTTGGTGCTGAGACCATACACTAGATATACGTCTATATGCCCAAATGGCCACAAATATTACATAAAACTCACCAACACAGTCTTTATATCTTGGAGTGTCCTAAATTAGCGTGTCGTAAAATTTTCAGAAAATGAGAAATATGCCAATCTATCCAAGAATACACTGTATTTTCACATAGGTAAATAAACTTGAAAAATCAGCACTCATGAAGAAATAAAAGTATACCCAGACAGTATGGATATCGTAAACACATTAACACCACGAGTTCCATATGTGGTGATTTAGACGCTTATTCAAGCCACATGGTATACTAATGTGTGAACAGCAGTCACTCCAATCCCCCGTACTCACCGGCCATGATATGATTGAGTTGGCGGAATGAATACAGAAGAGATTTTGGAAGGAATTTGTTGGCATCTAAATATTGAGAAACAAAAGGCAACAGGAGATGGTGTATGACACAAATGCATTTAGAGTCAATCACAACTATTTGTAGTATATTCTGGTATTGAAAAAATAAAGACGGCTATTAAACAGATTATTTACAGATTTTAAAGCCAAGCAGCTTTGAGCTAAACGATTCAAGTTCTTATGGTAAAATAATTTGTGAAATACACAGATCTCAATGTATCCTTAAGCTATGTAAGATATGTTTTGAGTAATTTTATAATAATATTTGAATAATAAATCAAGAAGTGTTCTAAAACCAGACAGACAAATTTTGTACAAAGCATAGAGAGTTTCGAGCATTCACTAATCTTAAACCAAGCGTGCGGTTCAGAATGTTCAGGATCAAAAAAGATATATTTAGAAGAGCTACCTGCTAATTCCTCGAAAATTTTATTGTGTCAAGTCTCACAAGCTGAGTCATCTACATATAAATAGGATCTGAGTATTTATTTCATCACTGTACTTTTCACTACATTTTTACAATACCTGCAAAGTACGGTTTGATACAGGAAAATTCTGAAAGTGATAATGGTATTTTAAAATATGGACTAAATCAAACAGCTATATTTATGATTTTAGTTAATTGCAGATGAATTTCTGTGGTCATCATCTACACATTGATGTATGTTCATGAATCCGTATCTATATTGGCAGTTTTGTCAAAGAAAGCTCCTAAATGAGTGGAAGACATACAAGAATGAGGATGTTGGTTTAGATTTGTATAAACAGATAAGACCCCAACAGCATATTTGAAATGGCATACATTATAAATTTTTACTATGAAATAGTGATTGACGTGACAATCTTAAGCGGAATTCCATGTGCATTAATTTTAATATTTTTAATATCACTAGATACTGACCTATATGATTTAAGGGCAAATAGATGCAGTTAGCATCATTGTAAAATCGCAACACTCCACAAACACATTTTCAACAAAGATGGATCTTTTATTGTTTGATAAACTTCAACCACCTCGTGCCATTTCATGTATAATAATCTGGAATTATACAATCAACAAATTAAAATAAGTATATAAGTATCACCTCGAGGCCAGTTCTAGCTTTATGTATGTGGTCTTTACCGACTTTTAAAAGAACGCATATGAAAATTTTAAATATGTTGGGTTGATATAAAAGGTGCAAATGCTTGCACATTGCTACAATTCTGGACTCTTTTAAAAGTGTTCAATTCATCAGGACATACGTAATTCTCTACAAGTTTATGATTGATAGCTCACATCAATCTTATGCCTTTCAAAACCCATCCTATTTATTTAAGCTACATGGCAATCTTAACTGGGGTAGGGGAGATTCCCGCCCAACACAATGAATGGTTGTTTGAATGCACAGCTCAGGTGATTATCTCACATTTGCTAACAGGCATGACAGATATTTTGAGCTCGATTGCTTTTCTAGAGACAATACTGTGACTGAACTTAAAGAATGCACGATGCGTAATTTATAATATAATTCCTATCATAAACGTATAAACGCACCAAACTTTTCTTGGATGCTTGATTATAAACAGCAGAAATAGACGTTTTATAGATAGTGAAACCAAGATAATTTGCGTAACTATGAATTCACCTTTTAAAAATCAGAATCATTCGTGAATTTCACCTCATTTGTATGATTAACTGAAAATGAGGAATGAGATTAAGAATGCGGTTGTCTAATTTAATAATCAATAGAAACAATCCACTTAATAAACTAGACAAAGATTGATAATGCCCAAGCTTCCTTCAGTTAATCTATAATAGTTGATTTTCGACACGACCCGCTTGTCTGGTTATATTCGTAATATTACTTTTGAGATATTATCTTATTATTTCTAACACAACTGAATGGGTTGATCAGTTCTGGTACAATAAGCTTATGTTTCCAAAAATGGTTCATTTTGAATGCCCGTTTCCACTCATAGCTCTCTTTGCTTACCACTTTCGAAATAATTCTTTTGACACTAGTTAAGCATTTGGCTACAATAAAGCACGGGATACAACCAATCGGTCTGAAAATCAGAACATTCTGCATATGCTGAGCATAGAAGTAGCATCTCATCACCATTCTCAATGAATTTTAATTTGATCATGCTGATTGGAAATCAACTTTTCAAAGCGATATATAAGGGCATGTAATCGCAGGATTTGTGGGCTCTATCCAAGGGAAATGCTCATGACATACAAATGTAGCTTGGCCTAATAAAAAAGAATTGTATCGATTCAAATTAAGAAACAGGTAATAAATTATATTAAAGCCTTATTTTTGTTTTTCGATTCAAGACTTATTTACCATATTTTTAAATGCAGACGACGAATTAGATAAAAAATTTATAGGTTTGAGCAATTCGGACCGCACGGACCTGTGCAGTGTAAACACGCCGGGGGAAGGAAAAGCACAGCCTCAAACACTCGCTCACGGCTAGTGTCGCACAGCTTGCTTCCTTGTCTGCGTCGTCTCCGCATCCACACACACTCGAGTCTGCTTTCTGGCTTAGAGGCCTTCAGCCATTACACGGAGGACGTAGCTGTGCTGCTGCGCTAACACACAACAGCTTCACCAGCGGTCCTGATCAGCGCTTCCTCTCGTACTCCTCTGACCTACTCTTGTGCATCAGCAGTAGGGTAAAACTAACCTGTCTCGCGACGGTCTAAACCCAGCTCACGTTCCCTGTTGGTGGGTGAACAATCCAACACTAGGTGATTTCTGCTTCACCATGCTAGGAAGAGCCGACATCGAAGAATCAAAAAGCGGCGTCGCTATGATCGCTCGGCCGCCACAAGCCAGTTATCCCTGTGGTAACTTTTCCGTCACCTCTCCTCATAACCTAGAAGAGGATCTATAGGCCCCTGTTTCCAGTAGCGCTAGTTCACACTATCGCCTAAAGCAAGCTTTTGCCCTTTTGCTCCATGAGTGGTTTCCTTCCCCTCGAAGCTTACCTTTGGACAACTGCGTTATAGTTTAGCAGTCGTGCCGCCCCAGCCAAACTCCCCATCAGATATCTAACGCGTTCGTTCCATATGCCAGTGGTCTTGCACCTTTTTCCCACCTTGCTGCGGCATCACAACAAACGCCTCTATCTCACTAGAGTCAAGCTCAACAGGGTCTTCTTTCCCCGCTGCTTGTCCCAAGCCCGTTCCCTTGGCTGTAGGTTCGCGCTGCTCAAGTAGGGACAGTGGGAATCTCGTTGCTCCATTCATGCGCGTCACTAATTAGATGACGAGGCATTTGGCTACCTTAAGAGAGTCATAGTTACTCCCGCCGTTTACATGTGCGTACTAAATATTACTTCATTAACGTCCCAAGCACTGGGCAGAATTCACTTTCTATCTGCCAGAAAGCTATGTTTTTATTAAACTGTCAGATTCCCCTTGTAAGCCCAGTTCTAGCATGCTAGAGCCAATAATTCTCCCGAAGTTACTCATCCATTTTGCCGATTTCCCTTACTTGAGTTCTCTCTCACATTGGGCTACTCACCCCTGAGTCCTGATGCGGTTCGGTACGACTGGCTCCTGTCTTTTTACCAAGCTGTCCGTCTACTTCTCTGTGTAACGCTCCGTAGATCCTCCTGCAGACAAATTGCCATCTGCTCCTGTCCAGCTGTCGTTCTTATATTGCTATCTCAGAGCCATCATATGAATATCCTCATATCCCCCTTTTACATAGGATCGTATCACCTCCTTCTATCAAAAGGATGAACCCGACTCAACATGTCCTAATAATAGTCGCTACTACTTCCAAGATCTGCTCCGGGGCTCGCTCCACACACCATCGCCAGTGTCCTTCTCCGCAAGCCTCGTGCCAGTCTACCAATATGCAGGTCTCGCACCCGACATCACCACCTTCAATTTTAGTCTATCCCAAATTCGATAGGTACGTTGTAACACGTTTCTTAGCGGATTCCAACTTCCATGGCCACCGTCCTACTGTCTTAACTTGGTCATCTACTTTGCTGCGTGTTGTCGCTTTGGTTGCTTATCCTGCTTCCAGCTTCTTTGCTTCTTGCAGATCATGCTTACCACAATCTGCCCACTGGTTGAGAACTCCTAGACATGCACTAGATCCTAGCACATTCGACACATTCGGAGTTTGTTGACTCTGTCCACATCCTCTCTACTGCATCTTCCTATACCTCAACCGCTGTCCTGAGAGACATTTCGACTGGAACCAGCTACCAGATAGTTCGTTTGGTCTTTCGCCCCTATACCCATTTCTCGTCATCGAATTGAACATCAGAACGACTAATATCCTCCATCAGAATTTCTCCTGACTTCAATACCAACAGATATAGTTCACTATCTTTCGGGTCTTACCACCGCAACTTCCCGATTTCTCTCGGATCGGGGCCTCCACCCTTCTCCTCGCTGCGCTGGAAATCTCCTTGGTCCGTGTTTCAATACGGGTCCCATAAATGGGCTTACTCTCATGTACTTTCTGTCTTTCATCCTATCCAATTGTTTTCAGCTTTCCCTCGCGGTACTTCTTTGCTATCGGTCTCTCCTTGTATTTAGCCTTGGATGTTCATACCACCCTTTCATACTGCACTACCAAGCAATACTACTCTTCCTGCTCGCTGGCGTCGTCCGTGGGCTCTCACCACCTCTGGCTCCTCTTTCCATAGGATTCTTGCACCGCTCCCACAACTTTGCATTACCATTAGAGCTCCTTCTTGTTCGTTCGCCACTACTAAAGAAATCCACGTTTGTTTCTTCTCCTGTCCTTATTGATATGCTTAAGTTCAGGACGTACCCGTGCATCTCTGCACCATTCCAACCTCACAATATGCATTGTGACTATCGTATTCTCTACGTTGGTCATCGACTGGAGAACCTATCCATCCCGTACATGAGATATGAACTGATCTGCACTTCCGTTGTAGCTCAACAGCTGATGTGGACTTGTCCACAGATGTGTCAAAAGTCACCGTCTATTTGCCGCCCACTGGTGTTTGGCATGGGTGAAAAATTTACTACAAAACATGTGCTGAATAACTGCGATACAAGGAGTGGCTGAAAACAGAACATATGCAGTTTTACAAAGCACATTTAATTTAAACTTAGAAAAGCCTATCTCGTAAATTCCAAATGTAGAGTTTGTTTTGTTATTATTCTAAACTACTAAATCTGAAGCCAATTTTTTCTTCAATAAAAAATTTGCCGTTTATTTAACCATGTTGTTTCCAGAAATAAGAAGAATAAGAACACCATTATTCAAAAATATTTCACATGCAAACATTGACAAATCATCTGAACTTTATTTGTTATACAAAAAACGCAATCTCACATCAGATTATCTTATAAACTCCACTGAAAACATGTTTGTAATTGCATTTTTCTACAACGAGCTTTTCGATATAAAAGACTATCTTGCATACTTAAGAGAGTTATCCATCACAAATCAGTCGTATAATATTATCAAATATTATCTAAAAGAAATATGCACTACTAAATTTAATTGTGAAATGGACTCTTCTCATTCTAGTTTGAAAAATTGCAAAGACTTTCTAAATTCATTTTTTGATAGCTACAACAAATCAAAAGACAACATACAGGCTATAATTCTCAAGATTATGAAAGGTGAGCTTTACAGAATGGTTAAAATACCAGTAGATGACTTTGACCCATATTTTTTCATTGGATACTGTACAATTGGAGATACTTTTCTTCCCAATTTTGAATCTACTTTTGACCTTTTCATTACAAAATCTATAAATATTGTCAAGGTTTTGAATGATTTTGAATTTTATAATAAAACTGATGATAACCAAGTACCACAGGCAACCCGTCTTATATTGAAACATTTAGAAATATGCATTGACTATTTAATTACAGAAAACATTCTTAGCAAGATTGTTGAATACATAAGATTTGACAATGTTGGTTTAGATCTTATTTACAAGATATGTTGCTATAAAGAGACACAAAAGATTGTATTTAAAAAATTAATGAATATTTCTGATTATGAGAAGTATTTGACAGTTGCTTTGCACATTTCTTCTGACATTGATAGCTATAAAGCCATTAAAGATCATGCCATCGGTAGAATTAGAGGATGGCCATCGGTAGAATTACCCCCGAGATACGTCTTAGAATTCCTCTTAATACATTTTTACTACGAGTATAATAGCTTTGATTACCATTTACTCGATGAAATTTGTGGGTTGTTTAATTTAACCGATACCGTTGAGTATAAGCTCATTACTAAACGCCCAGGATTGTTGGTAGACGAAGACATATTCTACAAGATAAGAGATTGCAAGGATTTTAATGAACTTACAAGGCTATTTGCATCGTTTATTTATTTATGCTCCTTTGATAAGCTCGCTCTTGATGATCAACTGCTTGAATTACCAGAAAAATTTTTTAGTATAGGCCTTTCAACTATCAATTCTGAAACTGCAAGAAATTTGAAAATTTACAATGATAATCCTTTCAACGAACGATTAAGAAAAAATGTCTACTTAAAAATTGATAGAAGTATATTTGTCAGATACCTCATCAAACGATACAAGATTTTCAATGAAATCGACTTTTTAAAAGAAGAGTATTCAGCTTATGAAAACTTAATGGATGATAAATATAAAGTGATGTATGCATTATACAATCTAGAATGGGCAAGCAAACACATTGAAGAGTTAAACAGAATAGGAATATCTGACAAATTGTATTGCTCACTAAAAAGTTCACCGTTTAAGGATTGTTTAATGAATGCTGGTTTGAAGGGCAATAAACAAACTGAAATTGAAAAAGATAGTATGGCAATATTAACTATGCCTGTCAAACCAGAAGACGATGAGGCTAAACGAATGAAATATACAAATACAGATAAGAATACGTCAAATCAGCACACTATCATTTTAGAATCTCAAAATGGTATTTCTTGTCTGGCCTCATCGGAATCAACAATGCTTAATAATTCTGATAACATTGACAGCCATCAACAACAAACCCACAATTCAAGTTCTCCACAAATTCTTCAAGGCATCGTAGATGCATTTAAAAATGAACATGCGAATTTCTCTTCGCTGATATGTAAAATTCAAGCATCAGATGAATATGTCGATATCCTTAAAAGCCTATTTCGATGGACTTATCGAACAAAGTATTTCATGCATTTTCTTGAATTTTATAAACAATCCATCATACGGTTTGAATTAACTTATGAAGATGTCAAAAACATTACTTTAGAACTTGTAAAGAAATTCAAGGACACAGATATAGTAAAATTATCTGCATCTTCTCTATTTATCAAAGATCTTTACAATTTTATTAATGACTTTTCCAATTTCAATACTTCTGTAATTGAAGGAATAAGTATGAAAATAGATAAAAATCCCAATTCTATAGAATACCACGACTTTGTGCATTCACTAGTCCACTCAACAGTATTTAATTATGTTGTTGTGGGTTCTAAGCTATATTCACATCTAAACAATGCCACCTTCAGCTTAGATCATTTGCTAACTTATAAAAGTGATGATGTATTGCTTGAAGCTGTTAAACAATTGAAAATCAATGTTAATAGAACAATTAACTGCAATGAAGTATTGCTTAATATTTTATATTCACGAGGCCTTACTGATGAACTTTCCGCTCTCATTTGCAAGAAACTGTACATTCCTGATTTGTCTACAAATGATCTTCAAAGAATATACTTCTTTATTTTACCTTAATCCATCAAATTACATCAAATATGATATTTATCAATGTGGATTTTCCCTCGATGAACACATTGTAACGGACTTAATCCAATTGCTATCAAAAACTTATTCTGAAGATCTTTTTATGAAAAATTTCTGATATTCTCAATACGTATCAATGGACACAATCATGCTTTGATCAAATGATACTTTCACTTGAAAACTCAAATTTTTTATTTAAAAACTGGGTATTTGATAATTTAAATACACAGAACATTACACTTCCATTATTCATTAAGCTGTGCTGGTTTGTAGGCAATGAGGATGATACTCAAGTTTTAGGTAAGGCTTTGACTATCCTAAGGAGAGGTAAAGTATATGATATTATTGATTCTTGGGCAAAAATAAAGAAGTTTGACAGATTGACAAGAAGAGTGTATCCTTTACGACTACAAGACAAGGAATTTTATAAAAGGATATTTAATGGAACACAAGATGAAGATGAAAAAAAATATTAAGAATGACATACGACCTGTCATTTATTGAATCACATATCTAAATCTATAAGAAATGCATTGCAAGAAACTATCGGATAGTATCAAAGCATAAAAGAAAACAGTGAGGTGCCAAAATCAATCAAAGCCAATAAATAAACTATTAACTGTTCTTAATTTTAATATCGTTGAAAATAAATGCTTCACACAAATAATCAAACAACAAGCACAATACAAACGTATTAATTAGAAGAATTTAATCATCTACTTCTTCTTACCCTTCTTGTCAGTAGTAACTGAACCCGTTGGCTTAGTACCAGTGACTTCCTTAAGATCAACACCATACTCGCTAAGTGCTTTCTCCTCAGATACACATTCAATAATCTGTCCAACAGCAACCAAGACACCAGAATCTCTGCAGACGAATTTTCCAAGATTAGGGAAACTCTTGACACCCTCAAAAAGAGCTTGTTTAGTAGGATAAATTAATGCAGTAAACTTCTGGTCTTTGGCAATGAAAGGAGGATTCTCAACTACTGCATTACTATCCCTATCAACAGCAGATACAAGCTTAACAAACTTAGAAGCAATGTTTGAGGTACCACATGAAACAACAGGAGTATAGCCAGACTTAATGCCTTTCTCCTCTTGACCAGAAGATTTACTCTTACCCTTAAGTGAGACACAAGAAACAAGGTAGAAAGGATAAAGATTGAAACTCTCATCTTTAGCATCACCTATCATATGACCAGCAGTAACCTTTTCAATAAGAGGAGCCTTGTTTTTATCTTCAATCTTCAAGCTGAAGCCAATATTCATTCCAGCCACACCTGCTTCAACATCTTGCTTGTGAGCTTGAATATTCTTAACTTCACCAACAAATCCTAGTGGCAAATCTTTGACTAACATGCCTTTTGTGAGAATACCGTAGTCTACTCTTCCACAGATAATAGGTCCTTGGCCTGGAACGTGGGCAAGTGAAGAAACCGGAATTCTGAGTCTCTGATCAGTTGGTCTTTTGGGAGTTTCCTGGAAATCAATAGCTTCTTCTAAGCTGGTAATCTTCTCAAATCCTGGTTTTGCTTTGCCCTCTGGAGGAATATATCCCTCAAAGAAATCAAACTTCTTACCATCCTTGAAGATACCAATACCGTGGAGAGCGGAAACTGGCAGATAAATAATGCTCTTGGGATCAGGAACAAGCTTCTTAAGAAGCTTTCCAACAGCTGCGACAGCTGCATCGAAAATAGGCTTCAAGTTATCAGAGTTAACATTTCCACTTCCATCGGCTTTTCTAGCCTTTTCAGCCACTTCATCAAGCTTGTTAATACAAACTATAAAACTCTTTGAACCAAGAATAGCAGCAAGAGTCAAATGTGTTTTCAAAGTACCATCAGCTGAGCATGAGGCCTGAAAATCAGCAGGAACCACAACGATTGAAAGATCAGACTGCTTACATCCACTAGTAGCATTCTTGATGTAGTCGGCGTGACCAGGACAGTCAAGAAAGTTAATCTTAAACTTTGTAGTCTGCATCTCAACGAGAGTAGTGTTGATTGTTACACCTCTCTTTCTTTCTTGCTCAGTTCTATCAGTGAAATAAGCGAGAGTGAAAGAGCCCTTCTGGTTTTCTTCAGCAATCTTAGCAAGCTTTGCTTGTTGTCTCTCATCCAAAGTACCGAATTTGGTTGCAAGTTGACCACAGAGAGTCGACTTGCCCGAATCAACGTGTCCAATAATGCAGATGTTGATAAGAGGCTTTGCGGTAGCTTCTGACATGGGGGCTCAAAAGAGGAGAAATTTTAAATGCAAAAATTTTCCAAAATTTTCAAGGGAGGAAAGAATGAATATAACGAGTCTGTTATAAAGCCAACAAACCGTTTAAACATAGTAATTTTATTTATTTTTAGCTTGTTTTAAAATAGCTAGTATAAACTTCCCAACAAGTCCTTTTTGTGTAGGAATTAAAAGAACCAAAATATGTGAGCATAATGCAATCTATTTCAATCTGAGTATTTATTTATCCAAGACCAGTCGTAATCCTATATTTATGCTTAATTTTCCTTTTAATATTTCATAAAGTACACTTTATAGCCCACCTTTAATCTTTCTATAATACTTTTATCTGGTTTTTTTATTCCTTTTGATTTTCCGTTTTTTGGTGGAATAACAAAAATGAGGTTTTTGACAAATTGATTGATGAAGCAGAGTGTTACTGTGATTCTCACTGACGACGCATTACAATCAACTTCTACTCGTTCAACCAATGCTTTACTGTTCAAACTTTCTGAATTTGGCCATAAAGAACAAATATGACCATTTTCACCAATGCCTAGCAGACAAACATCAATCTTATGAATATTCTTTTTTAGAATATCTTCATAGTTCTTTGCACTTTCTTCTGAATTGGCAAGTATTTTAATAGGAAATACCTCTCCTCTAATCTTCTCGAGAAATGACGAGGCCGACTTGAAATTTGAATGTTTTTCTTCACATCTTTCATCACAAAAGAATATTTTCCACTGTAAAGTATCGAGTGTTTCAAGTTGATCACAATCCAAGCATTTTATGATGGATCCACCCGATATCATCAAATTGCATGCTTTACTGTCATAGTTTTTAAGGATATTAAACATACTATCCTTGAATTCCTGCATTGTCCCCAGTTCAATTAGATTGTCTTCTATCATTTGAAGTATCCTTTGAATGGGGTTAATCAAACGTAAAGTACGACAACGATCAGTCTATAAACAATAAAAATCATATGTGCTGAATACTTAAATAATTTTATTTGGTTAAACCAACACATCTTTAAAATAATATCTTTGACAGTTACTCATTAACTTAGTTTATTAAATTTAGCTATCTTAAATCTCCTTCTCATATACATTTTTGCGACAAAAGCAATTAAAACAGAAAAGGGAAATAATAAATAATCCAAACCATTCTCACAATCGTTCCTAATCATTATAAAATACGTAAACCAGTCGTAGGAGTGTGAATCTCTCTTATTTAAATTGTCTACAAAATACTTGGCTATTTTGTCAGGATCAGCAATAATACTGGAATACTCAACTCCCTTTGTAAATGAGGGTTTGGTCATATTTTCCCTTTTAAGACCAGGCGTATTCATGGCACAGCAGTACAGAATTTTCAAATTCACGTTCTCTGCCTTTAGTTCATATCTAGCACTCTCAAAAAATGATCTAAGACATGCCTTTGATGGAGCATAAGAGGAATATCCAGGAAATGTAAACAAGGCAGTGGTAGAACAAGCCATAATGAACTTAAAGGGGAATCTATTACATTTCTTAAAGTGATATAGCGACCTTATCATTCCTAAATAATTAAGCTTAATTTGTATCTCAAAAATATCATCATTTTGATCTTTAAAATATCCAGGCACAGCCATTCCTGGACAGTAAAAAATGTAATCAAAGTTCTCTTCAACATTAATTAAATCGTGAAGAGAGTCAAATACTCTTCCTGAAATTGTGGAAATCTGAGATTTCTCAAAGGATTTGAGAACATTATCCAAATTCTCATTCTTTCTCGATGTTATTACTATGTTGTTACCCAAAGAGTAAAGGTACTTTGCAAGAGAAAGCCCCAAGCCAGAAGTACCACCAATAATGAAAATGTTCTTTCCAGTTATCCTTCTATTGTAAAGTAAATACACACTCAATAGTATTGCCAATAGCAATATTACAGTGATACAGAAAAGTGCTTTTAGATTGTTAAGCATCCAACTCACATATTTGTTTGGATATTTCCATTTGTCAAAACATGAAACGACATCCAACACGGATCATTCAATGACCATAAAACAGTCTGATTAGTATTGTAAATAACCTAAAGTGAGAATATAAAGATAGATGGTGCAATCTTACTAATGTTGAATGGTTGAAAGTAAAATAGTTCTGGAGTGTGTAATTTCATGTATAATAGTTTTTCCCTCTTCGGCGAGCATAGCTTAGGGGTAGAGCATCACGTTGTGGCCGTGAAGACACGGGTTCGATTCCCGTTGTTCGCATGGGTATGTAAGTTTTTTTAATAGCCTTTTTATTAAAAATTTGTTTATTTTGCAACGGTTTTTTCGATCTTTTACATTTCAAAATCCAGCATAAAACTTTAATTCAAATATATTTGTCTAAGTATTCAAAAATATCAAAATCCATTCGGTTAAATAGAATTTCCAGTTCCATTTTCATTCCTAATCCTTCTATAAACTCTACTTCATTGTAAATTTCGGAGTATCTTTTTAATCTTTCAATCATTCTTTTATCTGGACCATTCAAACAAATGCAATCATGCTTCTTTACTTTATATTTTAGAATATCTTCTATTTTCAAACCGATTCTAACCATATCAATCTTTTTTTTATAAACCAGGAATATATGCAAACCATAAGGATCAAAATCTGTTAAGCAATATATCTTTACTGTACTTTCTATCATTTTTAGAAACTTAACAGTATTTTGACAGGGATAGCCTTTTCCACAAACGGTCAAATACCTCTCACTTTCTACCCTGGAAAATACAGTATCCTTTTCTATAACCATTGCTACTTTATAATTATGCTTAATTTCTATCACGTCATCCATGTCAGGTATTAGATTCTTTCCTTCATATTCTATTCTTTTACTATTTTTCATGATAAGTATTATTCTACCATGAAAGATTCCTTTAAGACTTGATTTAATATTAAAATCTCTCTGCTCACAGCCAAACACTCTTGAATATCTCTTTACTAGCTTGTTTACACTGTTCTGAGTTTTGAATATTGGAACAGAATCATAAAAAAGGGTTCTTTTATTCATTGATTGGCCTGACTTGATCAAGCTATGTATGGACTGGAGAAACTTGATTTTCTTCATGGCAGTTTCATCTATAAAGCCTTCCAGAACAGATTCTAACTCCTCTTGAATGTTCTGGTGTATGTCTTTCATTTTTTATGCCATGTAGAGCATAAATCAAAAAGAAGGAAATTATCCAAAGGCTAGCTTATTTAATAAGAGCGAATTACCTACAAATTCTAGCTTTAAAAGAAAAGCATACCTTTTAAAGCATTTGATATGTAGCAGTAAGTTAAGAGAACCTCAATTATGCAGTTTTACTACTATATACTGTTTTTCATCATATGACATCTATGCTGACATAGAAAGAATAAAAAAATAAATAATAAGCTTATTGGATATTTTCTTTATTTCTTTAAACAAATTACTCTTATTTTAAATATGTCATACTGGTATACTATCATGATTAAAGTTAGTGCTGGACTAAGTTTTGATGTCTTTCTAATATTCTGTAATAACAATACCAATTAGTAAGAATAATACATAATATTATTCTTACAAATAGCAATAGATAATGATGGCAATGCCATATTCGTTTTGTATAGAAGTAGGAATAAAGATAAGATCAACGAATCGTTAAAGAACGTTGAAAACACTTTGTCTTTTGAGTGATAAAGCGTAAAATGAAGAGAAGTTAGGTAAAAATAAAAGAAGTAGTATCAGCCAATACTGATTTTGAGAAAGCAAAGACTAAAGAATGGAAAAAGATATTGTTTGCAAATAGAAACACAACAGTGGAGAACTAAACGACAGTGAAGAGGAAAGAAGTGTGTATGTGAGTTATCATGCTAGATGTAGTTTCATTGTTAGTATATTTTATAAACGGCCGTTAGTATAAATAGTATTGAAGAGTACGGATGATGCTAGATTCAGCACCCTGTTCAATATGGTCCATCTGAATATATAAAACAAAAATTGCCTCTTAAATTTATGTCTAATGAAATATGTACAACACCTGTCAAATCTTTTAATATATTAATAACGGAAATACCATAGAACAAGTGTATAAAAAGCGTAGCTTTATCATTTATGATTTTTGAATTTTCCCTTTTATTTGAGTAAATTTTTTTTCTTATCACCCAATGAATGTCAGAAAGTCGGCAGCTGATCTTCTGAGAGACAAATACATGTCTACACAACTAAAGAAAACAACGTCAGAGAAGATTCATCCAGATTTGAATGAACTTTATGGTGTTGAGTATTTAAAGCCAGAAATTTATTCAAAGCTGTACAGTCCCCTGTTCAACATCCAAAAATACAAAGACCTCGGCACTTTGCCACCTAAATCCATTCTTATTAGAGGAATTAACGGTGTTGGAAAAACTTACATTGTCAACTGCTTTTGTCAACATTTTCAAATAGATCTTATAACAGGGTACATTGAGACTCAAAAGGACATAAAAGAATTATTTAGCAAGAGTAGAGCTAGTGAGAAATCCATTATTTTAATAGAAAATGTTGATACAATTCTCAAAGAAGATGCTCTAATGTACCAGCTTAATACCTGTATAAGTGGATTGAACTGGTGTGCCTTGGTTGTCATAGCTCACACGGATTCTCTCGAAAACGTTAAATACGATGGGGAAATCTTTGTGAAAATTCCAACGGCATTTGGAAGAAAAGAGTTATTAGACGGAATAATAAAGAATATGAAAACAAAAGACATCGACACATTTGAGATTTCTCAGAAAATCCCTGGGTTTGTCCCAAGAGATATTGTAAAACTTATTTCGATGGTTTCTACACGTGTAGTTAACCGTGCAGCTTACCAAAGTGATTTGGATTTATTAAAACAAATCAGACTGTCAACCCATGCACAGTTTTCAACATCTGCACCACAACATCTGACACATACTAGTGATGGTCACCTGTGCGTAACAATGGATGACTTCACCAGCTGCATTGACGAATGCAAGAATATTACTCAAAGCATTACTTTTGATGATATTGGTGCACTTGAGAAGGTGAAGGAGGAACTAACTATGAGCATTCTGCTACCATCCAGATACCCTGAAAAGTTTATATCATTTGGAATCAGCAGACCCAGTGGTGTACTGCTCTATGGGCCTCCTGGATGTGGAAAGACACTCATAGCTAAAGCAGTAAGCAATATGTCACACTGTAATTTTTTATCTATTAAAGGACCTGAGCTTATAACAAAGTATGTTGGAGACAGTGAAAAGCATCTACGAGATCTTTTCCAAAAAGCCAAGAATCTGAGTCCTTGCGTACTGTTCTTTGATGAGATAGATTCATTATGTGGAAAGAGAGGAAAGAATGAATTTGGAAATAGAATTGTTAACCAAATACTTACTCTTCTTGATGGAATGGAAGATAGGGGGGAAGTATATTTGATAGGAGCGACAAATAGAATTGATGCACTTGACAGTGCACTTATGCGACCAGGCAGGTTTGATAAAATCATTGAAGTTTCACTGCCTGACAAAGAAGAGGCTCTCGAAATATTCAAGAAGTGTATTTCCAAGGTTCCATACGAAGATTTTGATTTTGAAAATCTAGATTTAAGTGGATTTTCTGGTGCTGACATAGCAGGAGTAGTCAAGGAAGCTGCAATTATGTGCCTTAAAGAGAATTTTGACTCTGAAAATTTAAAAGTTACAGAAAAGTACTTTTTATGCGCAATAGAAAAAACAAACATAATGAAAAGCACATCAAAAAAGAGCAGAAATAAAGCAAGATCCTAGAAAATTAATATATTTTAAAATAAATTATGCACCAATCAACAATTTGATATTTATTTATTGATACCACGAGTGTTAATTAAGCTTAAATAATGGTATTTCAATATATTAATAATATTTATAATACCAAGAGGTTTATTGGAAAGAAAGCTCAGGTGACACAGGCACGATGAAAAGAATTGTAAATACAAAAGATATGGTAGAGTATACAAGAAGGACAATGGCCCATCCAATAACACTATACAACAAACACAGTAGCAACCATTCTCAATTATTATACATTCATGAAGGGATGTGAACGCAGTAATATCAAAAATTTTGCAATCAACTTTTCCATCTCTCAAGGAAATGCAAAAATACAGCTGAAGATACACTTCTGTTTTTATGAGAATAAAAGTTTTTACTTTCCTGGTTTTCTTGCCCATGGAACCAAAGAAAAACTTGATGGACAAGAACCCAACAATTAATGATGATCCTATGGATTTAAAAGTTCAGAGAAAGACCATCAAGGCCCAAAAGAAGGCTGAAAAGCTTGCTAAATTAGAAGCTAAAAAGAATGTCATGCCAGCAACATCTTCAACCAAAGCTAAAAAGCCAACATCAACAGGATACGATCCAGCAGGAGTTGAAAAATACTGGTCAGAATACTGGCTTGGTAATCAATCCTTTCTACCTCAAGAAAGGGACAAAAAGTTTACCATTTGTATTCCTCCACCTAACATTACAGGATCATTGCATATTGGACACGCCATAATGATTTCTATTGAGGATTGTATTGTTAGATACAAGAGGCTGAACAATTATGAAGTACTATACTTACCTGGAATAGATCACGCTGGCATTTCTACTCAAAGCGTAGTTATGAAGAGTCTTAGATCATCTACTTCAAATACTATCGACAGAGAAACATTCTTAAAGGCAGCGTTTAAATGGACAGAGAAGTATGGCAGCAGAATCTATGAGCAGTTCAATAGGATGGGTGCTAGCTTGGATTACTCAAGAAAAAAATTTACGCTTGACGAGAATGCAAGTAGAAGTGTGACAGTAGCGTTCTGCAGGTTGTATAATAAGGGATTAATATATAGAGATAGCAAAATAGTAGCGTGGAGTTGTAAGCTCAAGACTACGCTGAGTGATCTTGAAGTAAATTATAAAAACGTTGAGGGTGGTTCAATGATTGAAGTGGACGGAGGCATGTATAAATTTGGGGTGATGTATTATATAAAATATTACCTCACACTAGATTGTGGCACTGAGTACAACAGTAAAAACATAGAGAATCTACCGTACGTTATTGTTGGTACTACCAGACCAGAGACTATTTTGGGTGACAGTGCTATTTGTATTAACCCGTATGATTGTAGGTTCAGTGACATTGAAGCAATATTTAGGAGTGGAAAAGTAAACGATCTATTTAATGATGAATACAAAAGCAAAGAAGAGACACTAATTGATTCAGAAGGGAAAAACAATGCAGCAATTGATAGAAATTTAGAAAACGAGGAAATTAAAATAGAAAGAAAGAACAAGTTTAAAGTAAATAAGACAGTCAATGAGGATACAATTGAAAAAGAGTACCCACTTTTTGCAATCAATCCATTAACCTATGAGACAATTCCAGTGATATTTGACAGTCAGGCAGATCTAAGCTTTGGGACTGGTATTTTGAAGGTTACGCCCTGCCATGATCCTGTCGATTTTAGACTTGGAAAGAAGCATGGATTAAAATTTAACAAAATCACTGATGAAGAAAATCGGATTACTCATCCTAAATATCTTAATATGATGAGATTTGAAGCAAGAAACGCTGTAATGGAAGAGCTGAAAAAGAATAACATGCTTGTAAAAGAAGAGAGTCGTGATCAAATACTTCCGTTTTGTAGTCGTAGCAATGATATAATTGAGTTTACGGTGAAGGAACAATGGTGGTGTGATTGCAAAAGTATGGCGCGAAAAGCAGTAGACAGTGTGAAGAATGGAGAGATTGATATTCAGCCGGTGGAGGCCAGGATTATATGGTATAGATGGCTAGAGAATATTAAAGATTGGTGTCTTTCCAGACAGTTGTGGTGGGGACATAGAATTCCTGCATATTATGCTAGCAATCAAGACAAAGGAGAATGGATAGTAGCTGAGTCTGAGCAAGAAGCAAAGCAGATAGCAAAACAGAAAGGATACACGAAAATTGAACAGGACGAAGATGTACTTGATACTTGGTTTTCTTCAGGTCTTTGGCCATTTTCAACGATGGGATGGCCCGATGACACTTCTGATTTCAGAAGATACTTTCCAACCTCACTCTTGGAAACAGGTAGCGATATCCTCTTCTTCTGGGTAGCAAGGATGGTTATGCTTTCCTATGAGCTTGTTGGTGAGCGTCCATTTGATAAAGTGTTTTTACATGGAATAATCAGAGATGCCCATGGTAGAAAGATGTCCAAGAGTTTAGGTAATGTAATTGATCCGTTACATGTTATTGATGGGATTGAATTAGAGGAGATGATAGATAATCTACAAAAAGGCAATTTGGATTCAAGAGAAGTGAAAAGGGCCACGGACGCACTTAAAAAAGATTTTCCAAAGGGCATTCAAAAGTGTGGCGCAGATGCTCTTAGATTCACTCTGCTCAACTACACCAATGGAATGAAAGACATTAATCTTGATATTCTCCGAGTGCAAGGTTATTCTCGTCTATGTAATAAAATTTGGAATGCATACAAATTTGTAAGTGGAGTGTTGCTGAGCCAGAGCATTGAGCGTCAATTGAAAGAGTGCCGTCTAGAAAATTCAAGTATTTTAATAGATGATAAAGCTATTATCAAACCACATCATAAATGGATAATTAACCGACTGAACAAAGTGATTGAAGAACAGCACAAATGCATTGAATCATACAATTTTATGCTAGGAACACAAAGCATCTATCAACTGATATTTGACTTTTGTGATAATATCATTGAAGTGTCAAAAACTCCAAGTCCAGAAGACCTAAAGGTTCTTAAGTACGTTTTTACTGGTATTTTGAAGCTTTTGAATCCGTACATGCCCTTTATCACCGAGGAAATTCATTTTAAACTGTACTCTTCAACCATTTCAGACTATCCCCAAATTGTCAGTTCGATTGACTTAAAGGATGATGTTTTCGAAGATGTTTTAAGCCTTGCTAAAATTTGTAGATCAAAAAAGAAGGTGGCTGTTCAGAATTTTGATGATATTTCATACCTAAAATGCTTGGTTAGGAGCGATTTTGAGATTCACGAAAGCTTAGACGAATATGAAACAATTGGAAATTTGAGATACAAAATTATTAATTAAAAACATGTCGTACTTCCTTTGTATTATGCTTGATGTGGGGCTGGCCATTTCATTTTATTCAATAAGCATTGGCTTGTATTTAAATGCTAAGGGGCATATTAGCTATTATAAATTCTATCAATTAGCAGCCTAGTTAATCGTTTTTATGCTTAAATCAGAATTCAACAAAATATGGAGAGTACGAGGATTGAACTCGCGACCTCTTACATGCTAAGCAAACGCTCTACCACTGAGCTAACTCCCCTAGCTACTTCATTTAACTAATATCTAACATATTGTTTAATTTTATCATCATTTTATCAAAAATGATAAATAAGCTTAAAGCATATTAAAGAATAAAAATGACAAGCAATAAGCACAAGCTCCTCATTTAATATTATCTTTTTATTGTTTCTGTTTTTGATTTTTCTCACTTTTGCTAAGTGATCTAACATAGTTCATCAATTCAAGATATCTCATCTTAATGCTGTCAGGCATATTCATTGCAAGGTTATGCATGCGCTGGATGCATTCGGAAACTATAGCTTTCATATTGTTATTTGAAATGTACTGTTGTCTAATCATTAAAAGGTAAATTAACAGTGTTACAGTGCTTATTCGCCTCAGAACTACCATACTAACAGCAATAGGTATTAAAAGTATTTCAAGGAAGAGTGCAGATCTTCCAATAGTAGCAATGTTAGTGTTTAGAAAGACCACAAAGTCGTAGAAGAAATAGGAATGGAATGTATCCTTCTTTGCTACAATGGAAGAGACAATATGGTAAATAGTGAGTAGGTAAAACGGGGAAAGGAGGATGTTTGGAACAAAACAAAGAAAGAAGACTATGCAGAATGTATTTGGATGGGAAAAAATCTTCTTTATAAACATTAATGTATCATATGCTTTGAAATTAGCTATGATGCTTTGAAATGTCAGTGTATAAGCAAGAAGAAGGAAAATACAGTTGAAGAACGAAGGAAGACGAGGAAGTGGAAATGCAACGAATACTCTGAGAATAGCCAGCGAATAGTTGATGAAAAAGCATACATTTGAATAAAACCAAATGTCCCTCAGCGATTTTTTATTCATTGAAGGGGTACAAAAGGAAAAAACAAAAAGCTCCTTTCAGTAGATAGTTTACTTAATACGTATCTGTACTGCAATGGATGAGCTTATACAAAATATACATTCCAGAACAGTTCATTTGAAATTGTAATTTTATGCTTAAGTTATTGTATGACAGTATTTGCTGGATTCTGTATAATTTGTAATATTTGATGACTAGGAGAATATCTTATATGAATTAATTAGCTTTTAAATCTGCTCATATGACAATGCAGTATTTCAAATAATGCTTGCTAGGGTAATTAAGATATTTGTTTATTTTTGCACTACCCTATGGCCACTGTCAGAGAGGCGCTTCTTCAGGCATTTGATGAGGAAATGGACAGAGATGATAGTGTATTTATAATCGGGGAGGAAGTAGGACTCAGTGGTGGTGCCAAGGGAACAACCAAAGGACTGATCCACAAATTTGGATACCACAGGGTAGTTGATACGCCAATATCAGAGATTGGATTTACAGGAATAGGTGTGGGTGCATCATACCTTGGACTAAGACCCATAGTTGACTTTATGACCTGGAATTTCTCGCTACAGGCAATCGACCATGTGATCAATAGTGCTGCTAAGATATGTTATATGTCAGCATCCAAAGTCCATTGTCCAATAGTCTTCAGAGGACCTTCTGGGTTTAATCCTGGATATGCTGCCGAGCATGTTCAAGAATTCTTCAATATATATGGATCAGTGCCAGGATTGAAGGTAGTTGCACCATATACGGCACGAGAGCACAAAGCCCTAATGAAAGCGGCCATACGAGACAACAACCCTGTTGTATTTTTGGAAAATGAGGTTTTGTATGAACAATCATTTGATGAGGAATTGGACGTGGAATTATTTCCTCTTGACAAGGCAAGAATTATAAAGGAAGGAAAAGACGTGTCAATAATTGGTGTATCGCTATCACTAATGACTATTGAAAATGCCTTGAAGGAATATAATCGATGCGACGCTGAAGTAATTAACTTGATAAGCTTAAATGATATCGACTATGATACGATATTAAAATCTGTTGAAAAGACTAGAAATCTCATAATTGTAGATCATAGCTGGCCTAATTACTCAGTAGCACATGAAATAAGCGCAGTGGTTTATGACAGGATGTATGGAAGATTAAAGACTAAAATAATATGTCTTACGGGCAAAAACACACATGTAGGATATTCAAAGAAGCTAGAAAAAGCCTTTTATCCAAGTGAGAAAGACATTATTGAAGCTATTAAAAAGTGTGTATCAAATTAAATGAACAAAACTCCTATTTCTATCACTTCAGCTTTGTCGAGACGGAATGGATTTTGTTAAAGCTTGCTGCAAAATGAATATTGTTTTTAATTTTGGGTGGGAATAGCAAATTCAACCTATCCGGTATACAAAGCACTTTTATTGATTTATTTTTATAGCATATTAAAATCTACTTGTATGTTCGAATCTTCCTGATTCAGCAACTGATCTGTAATGTATCCTCCTTCCTTGAGTGTTTTCACCTCACTGTCAGTGTATTTAAGTTCAATGTCACAAAACTTGTTGTCTCCCTCTCTCAAGCTGCACAAGACTATATCGCCCTCTTTCATCCACACTCTTTTAATCATTGATCCTCGAATGGAAGCTATTCGAGACATGGAATCAGAGCAAAACACCTGAAACTTATTATATCCCAGAGATCTTGTGATTATGCCGTAGACAGATCCTTCCTCTGCCTTAAGGAGGGGTCTATTGGCAGTTTTGTCGAATCTCTTACCCATGGGTAAAACTTTTTTATTTGTAAAGAAAAGCCAAGAGTAAAATTTTCCTGATAAAGCCCAACCTCAACGTTCACATAGTTTCAATATCAGAATATGACTGTACAAATACACAATGAAATAGACACATAGCAGCACATTTCATGCCAAAGTAATTGCACCAAACTGACTATTTATAATATAATAAAGAAGTCAAATAGGTTCAAACAGACACATCCACAGAAGTGAAAATGGTAAAATTTGTATTGCTTTAAAAATTTACACTATTCTTGAGAGGGTTGACGTTATTAAAATCAACACTTCATTTTTACTGCTCCTTTTTCTTTATTAATTCAAACAGTGCAGCTTGAACATTTAAATCATCGTAAAACGCTGTTTTGGTTCCAATACTCTCAGATCCCAGTGCTATTTTCCTGTTAATATACTGTGCTGGGTCTAAGCTAAACTCTTTCAGTACTTCAATCCTATCTGATGTCTTTTTTATCAGAGTCTTTAAATCCTCGATTTTCTTTTCTAATAGCTGAACATTCTTTGGAAATAGAACAGGCATCTGCGTAAGATCATCCGTCTCTACTTCAACATCCCAAATATTATCACACATAGTGACGTTATTATCACTCATCTCCTCCCCTGCACTGGTCCCTGCATTACTCTTCTTGAGCGATTCAATGTCTACATCAATCACACAGTAAAATATTGGCTGCAAGTGTGGCTCAAGTATTGATTGAATATTATTGAAATTGAAATTTTTGATATTAAATACATTCTCAAGATTTTCATCACAGAACACATTCGAAGTAGCATAGTCATTAAGCTTATATGTATTTACATATTTGTAAATATCCTTTATTATGTTATACCTTGTATCAGTGAGTTTATTGAAAAGACACGAAAGGGCAGGACTCAGTCTATAAATATTTCGTTGGTTTCTCAGTTTAATCAAAACTTGTAACCTTTTGCATGACTCATTTATTGGAACTACGAATCCACAGGTATTTGAGTCTTTTGTCCATTCGAAAATCTGAACGAGGGAGTCAGAGCTGGACAGCGAGGGAGCATTGGAAGTGTTTTCATCCATGTCTTTCTCAATAGAATCAAAATCTGTGTTAAAACACACACATACTCTCTTCACCAAGTCCCATAAAGATGTCTTGTCTTCACCACCTACATCATTTAAAACTCTTGTATTTATTATAAAGCTAGAGCCAGAAAAAGAGCCAAAAAGTCGAACAAGCTTTGTACAGCTTATTCTCTTTAGATGCTCTGCTTCTATTTCCAGTCTCTTTTGGAGGGCAATCTCGTCTAGCCTTGTGCTCAGTTCCTCAAGCTTTTCATTGAGTTTTGAATGGAACATAAGGGTGGGAGCAAGATTAAAGTAGTTATAATAAAAGCTTAAGACACAACATCTTTAGAACAAACTGGGGAAGATGCAAATGCACACAAGCTTGCAAATATAAACCCATCCACATTTAATAGCAAAGCGCTTAATTTATGACAGCAGACAATATGTGACATATCTCAATCACAAAGGCCTATTTATACTAGTCATTTACTCGCTCAGTTCTTATTTTTTGATATCCAAGTTTTACCTTTTCACTTCATTTAATAGATATTTATGTATTTTAAAGGGCATATAACACCACAGTACGAAAAGTCAGTCTATCCCAAGCTCAAGAATGGCGGCTAAGACACTGTGCACATCTTCCAATGCTAAATATCAATGCTGAAGTATAATAAAATGAATGATATCTTTCAGTAAGGTACAGAGGTCTGTATGTTGACTAATTACTGTCTTTTTATTCTCAATGCGGATTGCAATAAGCTTCGAATAGAGCGTATCGCTAGAAAAGATACTTTAGGCACTGGGATTGTAGGCGAATGGTCTACAATCCTGCATTCATCAGGGCGTTGTAGAATTCAGTGTTGAACAGAAAAACAGGATTGTATCATGCACGTAATCGATAAATATATTTTTGAAGAAGATTTAGCAATACTGTTTTTCATACAATCAGCTCCAATAAGACTAAAACACTGTTCAATCAGAGTATGACAAAAGTATAAGCTGGGCTAACACTAAAAAACATTCTTTGCCGTTGCAAATTGGCATTTTATCAATATTCTGAGATGGTCTCGTTGACTGCTGCCAAAACCGGTAGGAATAGACGTTTATTTTCAGTGATTACTTTTGCTATTAAACTGATCAAATCAGTATATCATTGAATGAAGATCAACTTCAATGCCAGATATAAAGGCATAGAAATGACCTCATCAGCAAGATAATAAATTGATCAAACCCCTATGAAGTTCTGATCGCTGTTTTGTACATTTTAAGCAATTACTTACACATGAAATTGATACTTAATGATTGATTTAAGCTTTTCTCTTTCTTAAATTTTTTTAAAATTTTACCTTTCAAGATGGAAGGAGGATCAAACACAACTGCCAACTCTACAGACTTTCAGGATACTACTGTACCGCCTAGTACGGACTGTGGTTCTGGTTGCCAGGCAATCAATGTGATCAAGGTTATTCTTAAAGCCATTTCTGGAAGTGAAGAAATTAATACTATCTCAGTGATTTCATCATTCATTTTCATCATGACAGTTTTGATGCTCATCCAGCTTATTTGCATGTGTATTAGTTGTGTACTTAAAAAACCAGTTCTCATCGCACCACTTGCAAGCCAAAAGAATCGCGTGGTTAGCTATATTCTTGGATCTCTGATTGGTCTAATTATGATATCGAATATGTTCATGGTGCTGAGCTGTTCTATCTCATGCGGATCCTACAAGAAATATGTGCATGCTCTTATATACACTTCGAGTGGCAATGTCTTTCTATTAGCATCAACTATTCTTCTACTGTATTTCTATCCACGGAGATACAGAGTTTCTAATGTTATGAGCCTTAAAGAGCGGATAGCATTTTGGACCCTAACTGCTGTTGAACATCTGTCCAGTGTAACATTGCTTTCCTTATCGTTCATTCCCTTGACTTCAAGCAATTGGCTGATGGTCGGCTTTATTTTAGAAACTATTCTAAGATTTGTATACGTTGGTTACACTGTCTGGTTTGGAACTAAGTTCTTGGCAGCAAATGAAAATACTTCTAAAATTCCCAATGGGCATTTACCTACCGGAAAGTCAGGAAAGCGTAATGATGAATCAGATATGAAGATATCACAGGGACAGGAAATGCAGGATTTAACTAGAGATCATGAATAAATTACTTTAGTAACAAAGTATATATAACTGTCAATCGTATTTGCAGTTACAATCATATCAATTATTTTGACATCATTTATGAAAACACGTAAGATTTTATTTGCAAAAGATCAGAGCGGATGAAATATACACTGCAAGTTCTACATTTAAAGATTTCTTTTGCTGTATATGACACTGGAGCCCTCTTTGATATGTGAACTGGTGTATTAGCTCATCAAATTTACCTTCTTTTAAGTGTGTAGTAATTGAATGCTGTCAAATAAAATTTTTATTGATTGATCAGATCTAAAAGCTTTTGACTGATTGATCAGATATAAAAAATTTTTTTACTTAATCTAAAATTTTTAACCTTTAAAATGTTTATTAATCCAAACTATACTACTAGAACAGTCTCAGATCAGAGCCTTGCAGTTGATCAATCGACAAAAAATGAATTTAATACCAGCTTTTCTACTATTTCGACTATAATGGATAATAGAACACAACCGACTTTTGTGGCAATGGCCCTTGAGCAACTAGACATTGAGAATGTCAACATTGAGGAACGCCTTTTAAGTAACATTGACACAATAATTATAGTGGGTAAGTATTTCCGTATATTCATGATAGCTGTTGCTGTTATTCAATTAATCTCCACAATTATTATGTGCAAAAGAAGAAAGCCCACTTTGATTGCACCAATTGGCAGTTATCATACTAAGTGTGCAACCACATTGGCTTCTATATTTAACCTAGTAATGATTTTATTAGATGGTGTTGTCATTTTTTGCTGTTGGAAGAAAGACTATTCGCTGCATGACTATTCATTCTTATTGCATTCTGGAGCAAATTATTGTATAATATTGTTCATAACAGTATTACTCACAATGATGGGGTATTGCAGAGGCTATTTTTTTCTACATGTCGAACCGCTTTATCCTATTTATAGTAGCATTTATTATAGAAGATGCCATGTATGGAACTTTTATATGGTTTGTCAATAGTACAGTTGTCTCCGTTGTCCGCTGGCTCACTGGCCCAGCAATAGCCTTTTCTTATTTGTTGAACTTGCAACTAGGGCGTTCTTTATTCAAAGGGCATACTCGCATATCCGTCATGCTGTTAGGCATTCTGAAAAGAGCTAGCGAGCCAATTTAATCAATAATTAAACCCTATTTATGGTTTATGTTTGTTTACATATTTTAATAGATATTTACCCATGCTGGTAGATTCATTGTTTGCTTATAAAGCTGTATACTTGACTCGTTTTAATGCACAGTAAATGGGTATTGTGCAAATAAAAGACAAAACTATTACATAAAATACAAACTTTACTCCTAATAGTTCCTTTTTTCTTAAAATCTTCTATTTTCTCCCTCAACTCAGCATTGTCCACAATTTGACTCTCGTCTAACGGCAGCCGACTGAAAGGATCTATTCGATCATTAAGCATTATCTGATTAAATGTCGATCTGTCAATGGTTATCTTCGATGTCAGCATCAGCACTGGGTTTTCCATTATTGTAAAAGTGAGTGGATCAAGAAACTCTTCAGGGACATCATCATTGATAATGTCATTATTGATATCATTTTCCGATGTCTTTTCAGGTAATACCTTGTAAATCTCAGTAAGATCTAGAACCTGATCTTGCGTTATAAGATGCTTGGTCTTTACTAAATCTAACGCTCTCTCAAGCAGAGTTTTATCAATTCCTGATGCTTGTGTAAGCTTAGTGTTATTCTTAAGAATATTAATCACTATTGAAATAATCATCCTTAAAATTTCCTTTGGATGAAACTGATACTCTTCCTTGTTCTGCAGTTTGATTTTCAGTGATTGTTCTCCAACCAGCAAATTTAGTGATGAGTTTATGATCGAGAACATTCTAAAGAACACGTGCTTATTAAGAAACAGTTTTTTGTTAATTTTTGTAAAGTTTTGTAAAAATTTTAACAAACTGTCCAAATAAATGGCAGAGCTTTTTAGAATTCGTTCATGCTTTTCAATTCTTAATGCATTTACCTTAATCTTTTTGTAAAGACGGACTTTGAAAGGGTTCGTCCTAATTTTTAGCTGAGTTTTGATTTCTTGGACTACTGCGTCAACCTTGGAGGGTATTACCTTGTTCTTGATTGTTTCTACCAGCTGGGAATCGCTCAATAGGGACATGGCTACTAGGAAATTCTCAGGATACATTTGTACTTCTTCCTCATCTTCACTGATATACAAGTCCTCATCAGTTCCCTTGAAAATCTCATTTAATCTTAGCTCCTTATCTTTATAAGCCTTAATATTCATAATGCTGTCAAAAATCAAGCTTAGCCTTTCTTCAAAAGAACCAAGAGCAAAGCTGATCATCCTGAGAGAATCCTTGGAGGCCTCTAGTTCGCAATCTTTGAAGATTTCATGAATGGCAAACCTGTCATTATAGATATCCTCATCAGACTTATCAGTGTAGTGTAATACAATTCTTCTAACAGTAACGGGCGATAGTAAAAGCGGGGATTTCCGAAGAATGTGTAGACAAGGTCTTTTAAATGTGTTTTTATAGCCAAGTATACTGTTAATGAGAACTCCGGCACTTCTGCTGATAGTCTTACAGGACAAAATAGACTGTACGGAGAGTATTGTGTTAATGAAAGAATGATCGGATAAAATTTCCCTGACGCAAGTGGCTTTTTTATCCTCAATAAACACAGGAAGAATGCCTGAAAATTCCTCAAGACAGTCAAGATCCTTGATATCACTGATCTCCTCGTCTTTCCGGCCTTGATTTCGACTTGCTAATCCATTAGCAAAATTTTGTGCATCCTCCTTTATATTTCCCTTTTCTTTATGGACCATCAAAAGTATATCAAAAACCTCACTTTTCCTCTCTGAAATTAAATCGTATACAAAATTCAGATAGCTTTGCATCAACTCCTCTTCATTCGCAATCAAATACATTGAGTTGTTCTGGTTGTACTCCTCTTTCACATCTTCTATCAATTTGTAAA